TCTGTCTGTGTGTGTGTGTGTGTGTGTGTGTGTGTGTGTGTGTGTGTGTGTGTGTGTGTGTGTTGTCTGTTTAGAAATCCACTAGAGGGCGCAGTCTGATCTGAGGGCCTGCCAGCTTGATTTAAGCAGGAAACTGTCTGTTGTTTTTGCCAGGCTGTCTGCTGTGGGAGTGTGTGGAGTGTTTTAGTTTCTCCCGATATGAAGCATCGAGGTCCAACAAAAACAGCATGCAGAGGAAGGGGTGAGGGGCAGACTGGGGCAGGGCAAAGGATTATGGGGGCACGGAGAGCAACCCAGTCGCCTCCGTGCACAGCAGGAGCTCTTAACTAACTTTATGCAAACTTCAAATTGATACTTTATGGCTACAAGTAATATTTCAACCAATATGAATGGCGTGAGTAATAATGCCAAAATATGAACCATGACCTCGCTTAAATAGCTCATCTTTAAAGTAATTTTTCAGTGAGGCATCATTTAACAGCTGTTTTGAGGAGTATTCAAGACACATACCCTGAGGAATCTGATTTACTAACTTATGATGATCATTTATAGTATATAATTTTAAAAAATATATGTTTTTGCAGTGATGCCATAGAAGAGCCAATTTGGGTTCCCCAAAGAACCTTTTACTAATCAGCTCTTAACAACTGAAAAAAAAATTAATAATCTAAAAAACATTGTTCCACTATAAAGAACATTTTGTCCGATGGAAAGGTTCCATAAATGTTACCATCATCCAAAATTGTGAACCATCAATGCCAAAAAAAAGAACCTGTTTGATATGTATCAACATGGTTATTTTACTAATAACCAAGACCACCTGAAAGTTTTTGGTTAGTATCATTTAAAGTGAGTTCTGAATCTAAATCTTGAGATGTTTACGAACCAAAAAAAATATAGATCATACCACAGATGCAGTGTTCTAGAAAGCTGTGATGCCAAAACTGATGCCACAAGATTTCATTCTCATGGGCATGTGCAGACAGTATCCTCAGAATAAAAGGTGAACATCCATTTATTCAAATGTATGCTTTGCCATAAGTGGGACTATTCACACATTTTATATCTAATCTGATGCATTTAAACAAATTGGTCAGAGATGCATTGCATGCCTATGTTGTCTTTACATTAGTCCTCAGTGTTAGTCACACATTTACTTCACACTGTCAGTAAATTGTTATATATACTACAACTCATTTTATTCAATTAAAATGGTTACAATCCTGTAGCACTTGAGTAGAAGATACTGGTTCATTACGTGATGGAGAAGATCTGCAGATGATCTCATCAGTGTTGTGGAGAGTGATACTCTGATAAGTTTTGATTAATGGATTTACACACTGATCCCCCTAAATGTGATTGCAAATTAATGTAAGGAGTGCAGTGTGTGAAACAAGATTTGTATGTGTAAATAGTTTTGCAGATATATGAAACAACTGATTTAACAGAGAGCTCATGAGAACTTCTTCAAGGATAATCGTCTGTAGAGCATCTCAGATGTATAAGGAAAAATATCTTAGGTGTAGCCTATCGTTTTCCTGTTTGTTTTGAATGTGAATTGCTCTCAATTAATCCAAGCTATTTGGCTTTAACTGCCTTTTTTCAGGTGCTGCAAATTGGGTGTAACGCGTGAACAACGCGTCCTTAAGAAACTCGTTAATGTCAAATGCGTCGTTTCCTTTTGTTTTTTGTTTATTTTGCGAGTTTGTGTCTGCTTTTATCATGCAAATAAAAGCAAGAAAGTGAGAATTAAATTCACACAGATCCAAATCCTTTGCTGACATGTGATCTAAGCACTAAAGACTCTCTGAGCGCTTTATAAGGTACCGAGCAATGTACAGACTCACTGAACTAATTGGATTTTACGATTCGGCTCCGTTTAAAGGGGGAACGAAAGTAAGTTTTATTTACGCATAAATCAGTCAGTTTCTCAGTAGTTCGCCACATTACAATAAATAGATGAATTAATAAAGTTACACAGAATATGTTTATTAATTTTATATTAAGCATTATACAATGTAATAATATTTTTAAAGAAGTCAGTATTTATAAAGGTCTGTTTTTGTTTCTCTTTAAGAGTTTAAATGTGCATGTAAATCTCTTCTTCATATTAGAGAGGCTGCAGTGGTGTGTTGTATGAAGCAGAGTGTTTGAAGTGACTGAATGTCACCTTCATGTGATGTTTGAGTGAGAGGAAATCACAGAGCAATGCTTCTTTTACATTATCATTTGGTCCCAGGCTCTGGTTTCACTAGGAACCTGCCTGAAATCTGTTCAGGCTTGCATGTTTTGTTTTGTTTAGTTAAGTTTAATTTGGTGCCATACAGTCAGAGCTACCGTCCAATTTGTAGGCAGTAATTAATAAAAAAGATAGACTTGCAGTGTAACATGATTAATAAAAAATTAAAAAAAAATAAAAGAAAGAAAGAAAAACAGTAGGCTAATTCAGGTATCAATAATACACACATTGCCAGGGCTGTTCATTTATTTTTACATGCATTTTCTTTCCAAAAGGAGGCTTTTTCTCAAACAGATCTTTTCATTATTATAGCATATTTATTTTAATTCATTTAACTCACAATAATTTCTGTCACACTCTATTTAATAAGTCCTCTCAGTTTTATTCTTCGTCAGTAATTAAATTCAAATGTTTTGAAAAAGTGCAACGAAGTTTTACATAAAACTTTCAGGAAGCGATTAAACTTAAGCTTATAGGCTAATTTTAGTAGGCTGACAAAAAAAAATAGGCTACTTAAAAATAAATGTAGCCTATTTATTTATAAATAATTTATTTGGCCAAGATGTTTAAGTCTGTTTGACGTGAATGAACAAATGTTTACTGTGTGGAAAAGTTAATAGGCTATGCATTGAAATCCTGCTGTGACTCTGCGTTGTTTCTTCTCATTTTTTATTTAAAAAGTGTCGTAAATGAGACGTGACGCAAAAACATTTTTTGTCAGACAATTTAAGCTAAATCTAACTTGAAAGACGAGCGGGCCATTACTTTTTCATTAAGAAGAAAAACAAGGGTTAAGCTCACTTTGTTGACACTCGCTCCTGCCGACTGCGTGGCCCAAGGGTGGAGGGGGGTGCCGTGGTGGGTGGGAGTGTGTGTGTGTGGGGGGGCTGGCTGGAGATAAGGGGTCCGATATATGGGTCCAAAGGGAGGGGTGAGAAGTCTGGAGTTTAAAAAGACAGGGCGCTTCTCTCCCTCACACAGACGCGCTTCAGCTTCCAGTGAGGGAAACTTACCTCAGACTCTTGTTTCAGACAAAAGAATCCAAACATTCTCACTGAACTCTATAAAAGTAAGACCAGACATTCGGATAAAACTGCACAAGAAAACTGACGGACTCAAAACTAAAGCGCCCTCACCAAATGGAGCCAACGCCGGAATACGCTGACTCGTACGACTACTATGAAGATAACGAGACTGCGTGCGACTACTCAGAGTGGGAGCCGTCTTATTCTCTCATTCCCGTGCTGTACATGCTCATTTTCATCCTCGGGGAGTGGGAGCCGTCTTATTCTCTCATTCCCGTGCTGTACATGCTCATTTTCATCCTCGGTCTCTCCGGGAACGGCGTGGTTATTTTCACCGTCTGGCGCGCCAAATCCAAACGGCGCGCGGCAGACGTTTACATCGGTAACCTGGCGCTCGCGGACCTGACGTTCGTCATCACGCTGCCGCTGTGGGCTGTGTACACCGCGCTGGGTTACCACTGGCCGTTCGGCGTGGCTCTCTGCAAGATCAGCAGCTATGTGGTGCTAGTAAACATGTACGCAAGCGTTTTCTGCCTGACCTGTCTGAGTTTTGACCGCTACCTTGCCATCGTCCACTCTCTGTCCAGCGGGCGGCTCCGGTCCCGGGCCACCATGCTGGCGTCGCTGGGTGCCATCTGGTTCCTCTCGTGCCTGCTGGCCGTGCCAACTCTCCTGTTCCGCACTACGGTGAATGACGCCGGGAACAACCGCACCACCTGTGCGATGGACTTCAGCCTGGTCACTCTCAATCAGCATCACGAATCCCTTTGGATTGCAGGTCTAAGCCTTTCGTCCTCCGCTCTTGGTTTTCTTCTGCCTTTCTTGGCCATGACCGTCTGCTACTGCTTCATCGGCTGCACGGTCACCCGGCATTTCAGCCACCTGCGCAAGGAAGACCAGAAGAAGCGTCGTCTCCTGAAGATCATCACTACCTTGGTAGTGGTTTTTGCTTTCTGCTGGACACCTTTCCATGTGCTGAAGAGCATGGATGCGCTGTCATATCTAGACCTGGCGCCCACCTCATGCGGCTTCCTAAACTTTCTGCTTCTGGCTCATCCGTATGCCACATGCCTGGCGTACGTCAACAGCTGCCTCAACCCGTTCCTCTATGCCTTCTTTGACCTGCGCTTCCGCTCGCAGTGCCTGTGTCTGCTGAATCTGAAGAAGGCCATGCATGGGCACATGAGCTCCATGTCTTCAACCCTCAGTGCCCAGACTCAAAAGTCGGAGGTGCAGTCGCTGGCCACCAAAGTGTGAGGGAACGAAATGAGAAGAACAGAAATCATGAAGTTGAAGAAAAAAAACATTGGGTTGAGGGGTTAAAAAGGTGGAAATCTATAATTGACGGCTGGTCCGTTCTGATGTGGTGAACT